AATATATATATATATATATATATATATATATATATAGATATACCAACATGTGACTTCTACATGCCGCTTCATTTTGTACTTATTCCACTTCGTATACCACCTTCGCCCTTTTGATTTTCGTTACATTTTAGTGGGCTTTTATCCTGTCCATTACGTTCTTGAACTTGTTTCGAGTAACAACCAACCTTACACTCACCATGGTTCCCAGAACGAAATACCAATTAACTTAAGCCATTTTGCTTACATAGTAAACCATCATACCCTATCCTTGGTTAAAATGGTATCGCCTGTTACCATCATAAAAGCATGAATGGCTTTTGAATCCAGTTTTCTTGAAATATATTCGGACCGTTTGGGTGCCCTCTGCCACAGGCAATGGCAAAAACACTTGCCAAAACGCTAAATAAATTGCACTTTCAGTCACGGTTACGTCCTCATAACTGTAAATTAAGAAAAGATGTTGATTTCAAAAGTATACTCCAAGATCTATTTCTAAAGCCGGAGTAATTATAAAATATCTATTTATTCAATTTCCGTAGTTTAAATAGTATCCCTTTTTGCAATGAACAATTTCGACTGAGGTTCGTTACTCAAAGAAGGTTACTGAACTGCCATGGCCAAAATCCGACATGGTAACTGTGCAGTATTTGTTGTACACTTGTTTGGATATAATGCTATCTTATAGTCGAAAGAACCACTGTGATCCTTACCAACCTCGTAAGGTCTTAGCAGTTATCTGGACGTTTTTAAAAAGCAAACACCATGTTGTATCAAATAAGTCAATGGTTACGGATGGTTTGCAAGATTCCCCGGCAAGAAATCAAAATGTCGAGCACCCGTTATCGAAAATAGGTTTGCGATAATTGGGGAAAAGTATGAATTAGTCGTAGACTTAGGATTAAAATGTGGGGTAATTTTACGGTGCCTTAGGAATTGGTTTGGTATAACGATGCAATTAGGAATAATTTTGGTGATAGGCTTGATATAAGGTTTATGTTTTAAGCTATGACAAGTGTTGATGAACCTGTTTCCAATATTTACCGGAACGCCGTCACAACTGCGGAATGGAAGTGAATGTGTTCCGCGAAGCCGCTCCAAAAGAAGCGACCTCTCACAATCAATTTGCAGTAAATCACCGGCGCGAGGTAATGCTGCTGTTTTGGTGTGGTTCATATTATTGTTGGTCTGATTATATGCACTGTTACAATTTCAAAACCTTGTTTTGCGAAGCGCGTGTGATGTATAGTGCCCTGCCACCCCTGCCAATTCCCGAATTATGTAATATAGGCATCGAAGTCGAAAACTGCTCACCATTATTTTCACCTTTTAATGTGTTGCTGATGAGACTGAACATTAATAGCAAATACCAAGGTAAATTTATTCGATGATTTCAGGTTACAGAGTTTGAATGAATAAAACCATATTTTCGCAGCGCTGAAGCCTTTTAGACAGACTGAGGTTTTCAGCAAAGCTGCATCTCTGCGAACAGCCATGCGGACACCAGTAGAGTGGGCACAAGAGAGAAGGCATAAGTGGCTGTGCTGGTAATTTGGTCTTTTGACGGCAGTCGATTGTAGCCAGCGTTAGCAGCTTGGTTGAATGGCTGCATTACTGAGGGAGGCTTCGCGTTGCCAGCGTTAGCAGGTGGGTTGACAGGCTGAATTTTTGAGGGATGCTTCGCGCTGCCAGTGTTAGTAGGTGGGTTGACAGGCAGCATTTCTGAGGGAGGCCTCGTGTTGCCAGCGTTAGCAGCTGCGTTGACAGGCTGCATTTCTGAGGGCGGCTTTTTGTTGACAGGGTGGTTTTTGACAGCACAGTCCTTGGAAGTAGGGTAGAGTTTTATTGAAAACTTCCTGC